CCTCATTCAGAAAAAAAAAATACATACATATATATTACACGTGACCAGCAGAATCTCAGGAGTGTGCTCTCTCAGTCACTACCACCCAATAGGAACTGCAATCCTGACTCCTATGACCATTTTACCTGTTTCTGAACAAGATTATATAATATTATGTTTCTAAGATTCATTCATGTTGTTGTGTGTAGCTGAAATCTGTTTATTCTCACTGCTGCAGAGTATTACTTTGCATAACTATGTTATATCTTACCTATTCATTCTACTCTTTCATGATTAGTATACATTTGTTTATCCTCTTTTGTGAAGTGATTGTTCCGTTCTGCAGATTTTTATTCGATTATTTGCTTTTTCTGTAAGTTTTAATTATTTTTGTTATTTTATATTTATCATTACATTATATATAGATTATTTTATAATTTACTAATTTTTCTTCACCAATTTTTTTGGTTTATCAATTTATCTTCTCAGATATAGCTATAACAAATATATTTTATCAGTCTGTGGTTTACCTTTTGTCTGTCTTAATGGAATGTTTATTCATCTGTTTTTTTCTCTATGATGGTATTTATTTTCCTGTTTAAGAAAACTTTACCTGACTCATATTTACTGATATTTTTCTATGTTTTCTTAGAATTTTGTATTATTTAAAATTTCACATTTACACCTATGTTCCAAAAAAAATAGACTATTGTTTGTTAGATAGGTAGGGGTAAGACTTTCTTTTCATAAGGCAATTAGGCCGTTTATTCTTTGCTGCACTACAGTGGTACACTTGTCACAAATCTAGTGAATGTATACGTGTAGGTTGGATTCTGGACTTTCTACTCATTTCCACTGGTCTATCTTTCTACCCTAGCACCTATTATTGAGCTCTATTATTAATTTTGAAAAGTGGTATTATAATTTGTGAAGCCTAGTTCTAAAACATTGTTAAATATTTATCCTTTAATTTTCCATATACATTTTAATATCAGCTTTTAAGTTTACACGTATACACACATGCATATAAACACAAAATTTGATAAGAATTTTCTTAGAATTGCATGAACATCTTTGTAATAGTGAGTGTTCCAATTTATGACCAAGGTATGCCCCCCTCTATTGATTTACATCTTTAATTTGCTTCAACAATATTATGTAGCCTTCTGGGTAGTATTATCAGACACCTCCTTGCTAGATTCATTTCATGGATTTGATGTTTCAAAATTATATTGTAAGAGATATCTTTTAAATTTTATTTCTAATTGATTGCTGTTGGTATATAATGATATTTCAGTTTTCTAGCTATCTCAACCTTGAATAATACCACAGAGTTTAACAGTTAAATAATCTTTTTCACACTGAAATATACCATAGAGCTATTTGTCCCCATAAATAGTCATTTTTAAATTACCCTGATTAGTTATTTTATTAAATTATAAAATAAAATTACATTAGGAGTTTAGTTACAATTGCAATAAGACTTTTAATTTATTTGGTTAGAACTTGACATTTTCTCATAATTGGGTCATATTCAAATTTTTGACATATCCCTCTATTTATTCATTTTTAAAATGTATTTTAATCACATTTGGTACTCTCTTCATAGAAACTTCCTACTTTCTATGTATGTATTCTTAGTTGCATTTTGGGTATAATTTTCTAATGAATGAGGTTTTCTCTTATATTTTCTAAGCAGATAGTCAAGATTTCGTGAAAAACCAAATTATGGGTTAGTAGATGGGGGTCTATAAAGGCCATTAACTATATTTATTGATTCTGCCCTATCAGATATTGGGGAAATTTTACATTATACTGATATATGGCCAAGTGTTATAATTTTTCCATAAAATTCTATCTATAAAAATTCAAATTTTTAAGAAACAGATGAAGGAAAAATCGTGAAAATGTTTGCCTGACAATTTAAAGTACTTCTGCATTTTACATCTAACATCTATCTCTATGACCATCTTTCCACAATTTCAGACTCACAAATCAAAATGATTTCCAGATACTTACACTTGTATTGTGCCATACACAATCCCAATGAAACATAGTGACATTTACCCTCCAACCTTCCTTTTTTTCACCTACACATTTTTCATTTAATGTCTGGTACCATCATCAAACTAGTTTTTCAAACCTTAACTCATCCAAATACCACTAAAATGACATATTTAAAAAGAAAGTCTGATCATAGGGCTTCTTTAGTGGACATCTATAGTCCTCAGCTGAGTCCAAATGCCTTAAAATGATTCATTATCTGGCATGATAGTTCCTTAGCCTCAATGTTTTCTCTTGATGGCCTGTCACATAAAAACACGTATTGCATGTAAACACACACACACACACACACACACACACACACACTTAGGCAGACACAAGCACACAGGGTCAGATCATGCACTTTCTCTAAGCTTCAGCCACACAAAAGTGTCACTCTGTGAACCCACCACCATCTTATCTGTGCCCCAAAATATTAATAACAGCAATTTTAACATTAGATCTACTATTTGTGATTGTTACTATTTGATTGGTTTATCGAGCATATTTGAACATTTACTAAATGTCAGTTAAATTTAAGTCAGATTAAACTGCAAAAAATGAGAGGAGGTTAATATTCTGAACTTGAATACAGAAAGTCAGATTTTAAATTCCAGCTGTGGGACTTTAGGAAAGCCACTTTGCCCCTTAGAACTCTGAGTTCCTCATTTCTTCCTTGGAAACACACAAGAATTATTTTTAAAAAGTAGAATTCAATAGAGGATGTACAAATATTCAACCTCCCTAGTAATCAAATAAATGGAGTTCAAAACAATATTAAGAAGATAGTTTTCATTTATCATATTGGGAGAGATTTGTTACAACCATAACACTGAAGTTAGCACAGGTGTGTGAGAGGACAGGCTCATGTACTGCATAGCCTCATGAACAGGATCGTCTTTCTGGAAAATAGTTTTAGAGACGAAGTGGGAATTTTAAAAGTATTATATGCTAATAGAGATTTCTAAACAAAATAATCCACTGCCGTAATATTTACAACAAGGAGTAAGAATGAGAGCAATCTAAATAACAGCAATTATTACATAAATCATAGTTCATCCATAGAATAAACTATTATACAGCTATTTAAAAGATGTATTTAACAGTTGTTTAATATCATGAAAAAAACTATTATGTCATGTTGGGAATAAGATCAAAACTCACAATTATTTAGTAAGAAGGAAAAAATTCAGTAATATATTAATAGCTATATTTCTATGTATCGAAACAATGTTAGGGTCTCAATCTCCTTTTGTACGTTGTGTATTTTTCAAATTACTTACAACAAATGTGTTACAGACAGTGCTAAATAGAGAAGACATCATTGCTCTTAAGGCATTGGAACTTTTGGTTAAATGGAGCTTTGTTAAATATGGCGTAGGAAACAAAATCATAGTTTAGAGCATATCCAAGGACACAAGTTGAAAAATAGAACCTTCCTCATAAACATAAGTTTGCAATGATTAACTCAACTTTATCCTAGGACTCAAAGATTTTCTGCAAATAGTGCTCAGAAGCAAGTGAACTACACATGGTTTAAAAAAAAAATAGCCAAGAATACAAGTGAAAAAGGCACTGAAGCATGAGCTAGAAGAATAAGAAGCAGAAGCAAATGACAAAGACTACAGATATTTAAATTATCAGGTGCAGATTATAACTATTCACACAGTTTAAGAGATAAAAGATAAGCTTTAAGTATCTGTGTCAAACAAAAAATCATAAAATGACCTAGCAGATTTGGATGAAAAGCAAATAAAACTTTAGGAAATGAAAAATTACACTTGCATACATTTGTAATGCAATATATACTTGCCGCATATATATATAGACTTGCCAGTTTATATGTGCAAATACTTGAAATAGACAAAATTATTTGCACATATACATAAATGTAATACATATATATAGTTACCAGTTAGAAACAAGAATATAAGAACTATTTTGACATATGAATTGGTAATTATCTCTTTGTCCTGTGTTTTAATCTTCTCTTCTTTAGGAACATGACTTAGATATATGGTAGACCTGACTCTTGCCTGCAAATCTCTTAATCTCTCTTTCACGTTATTTTACCGTTTATTAATTCTCTGTTCTGCACCATGTAATCCACTATTAAAAATTATCCATTTAATTTTTAATTCCTGGTAAAAATTGGGGGTAAATTAAATGATTAAATAATTAAGTAACATCTCAAGGTGTTTTCTGGGTAAGCAAGATAATACACCATGGAAAGAAGTCCTTCCCAATAAATAGAGCTGCATTCCCACTGCTTGTGACAGATGTACTTGTGTTCCCAATAATTCACTACATCTATTCATTTTTTGTTATTTGTTATTTTTTTCTTTTGAGACAGAGCCTTGCTCTGTCGCCCAGGCTGGAGTGCAGTGGCACCATCTAGGCTTGCTGCAAACTCCACCTCCCGGGTTCACACCATTCTCCTGCCTCAGTCTCCCGAGTAGCTGGGACTATAGGCACCTGCCACCATGTCTGGCTAGTTTTTTTGTATTTTTAGTAGAGATGGGGTTTCACCATGTTAGCCAGGATGGTCTCGATCTCCTGACCTCGTGATCCGCCCGCCTCGGCCTCCCAAAGTGCTGGGATTACAGGCGTAAGCCACCGCACCCAGTCTATTCTTGAGAGAATTAGACTTGTCATCCCACTGACATCAGACTTGGCCATGTGACTTGCTTTGTTCAAAGGAATGTGAGTGGTGTTAACATGTATCACCCTCCTGTGGAAGCTACAAGAGCCATTGAGTGATCTCACTAATGTACTTTTCCCTCTATTACTAGCTAAATTACTACGTGAGTGAGAAAACAACCTTCTTATTTTGAGTCACTAAGATTAGGGCGTTGCGTGTTAAGCTAATGATAAACAAAAACACCACCATATCACTCCAGGGACACAAACTGGAGAGATTTGTTATATTTAATATATTGTACTATGGTATATAAGAAAAAATGTATTTGCAAATTTACCTTTCATTGATTTGTTCTGTTATTTTGTTAATATCAATCCCAAGTTTTTTATTGTCTTCCATCAGTTTTGTACATGCCAAAGAAATAGCTGAATAATCTTTTGCAACATCAGAAAGCTCAATATCCCATGTTTTTTTCTTTAAGAAGAGAATAAAAGAATCATTCATACATGTCTAATTATCAAAAGGCAAAAGGTATAATAATGAAATAACTTTTAGATATATGAGTTAATATTTGGAAATACAGAATGGCATTCTAAGTGGGAAGCAGGAAAAAATCAACTTACTGCAGCATAAAAATCATTAACTGCTTCCTGATACTGATTTTCCTGACTTTTTTGCTTCCAGATTAGTTGGTCATAAACTCTTCTCAAATCTTCCAGCTAAGAAAGAAGAGATACAGAATCAAGTGAATTATGTAGCTTTTCATCCTTCCATAAGGTAAAAAATAAATTAATCATGATAAAGTAGAATTTGTTTCAGTTACATAAAAATTGAAAAACAATAGAAAATTCAGAATTATAATTCATCACATCAACAAGTTAAAGGAGAAAATAAGTATGCTAACACTTTGCAAAACAGTCATTTAATAAATTCACTCACTATCTAGTTTTCATATCTTAAAAAAACTAGTACAAGAAAAAATTATTCAAATATAATATAAAGAAACAATAGCAAATACCAAAATAAATTATAAAATACTGAATGTATCCTCATTAGACTCAAGAGTAAGACCATATTATCTCTTTTATCACCATATTTATTAATCACGCTTTGGGAAAGACTAAGTAAACATAATTACATAATAAAATCAAATATTAATATTATAATATTAAAAATGAATAGGTAATATATCTTCAACTTTCAATAACATGATTAAATACCTAGAAAAATAGAAGAATTCTATTTAAAACAACAATAAACAACTTTGGTAAAATAGCTGGGATATAAGGATTAGGAAATGAACAGCTTTTATCTGTAAGAGTAATAATCTGTTTTTAAAATATAGAAGAAATAATTTTAAAGTTTTCTCAAAAATATAAATTTGGGAAAAAATTTGACAAAAAGTAGAGGACTTATATAAAGTAAACAAAAACTCTTATTAAATACCCTAAATCAAGTTTTACATGAAAAGGATGATTTATTACAAAAAGGTTTAATAGATTATAATGTGTGTTCTCTCAACATTAGAGTAAAAATATAGCAAAATGGAGTAGTATTTTTTGAACTGCATTAAATGAAGTTCACATGGAAAAAAGGTACCTGAGACTAGCCAAAAGTTATCTGAAAAATAAATATTGGAAACTTGCTACCAGATACTGAAACATCCTATAATACGTCTATATTAAGGCAACATTTATTTTCCTCATCATAGTAAAGATCAGAGGGAAAAATTAAAGGCCAGAAATAAATCCAAATCAATATTTTTAAAGAATGATATCTGAATTCAGTGAGCGAGAAGTTGTTTAATTAATGGTACTGAAATAATACGAAATCTCTGTTTAGAAAAATTCAAAGTGGTCTCTATACCTCACATCGAACTCATATAATAACAAAAGTAAAGTTTCAGAGGAATAAAAATCTAAATGCAAACACAGAACATGTTCAAATTAGAGTAATCAATAAAATTTCATTTGCATAATCTTGGGCTAAAGGAGAGTGTCACCTTAAACTAAGAGATCTGTTGATGGGTTTGACAGCACATTTTATAAAAATGTGTGTCAAAAAAAAAAACCACCATAAACAAAATGTAAATTATAAAAGAAGACCATGAAAAAATGTAAAATAAAAAGCCAACATTCCCAGATTATGTCCTTGCAGAGACATCAAGGAAAATAGTGAAGCAGGAGTCTCTGAAAACTCCCTCCTATATAAATGTAATAAAAAAAAAAAAAAAAAAACTGGGAAAAAAAAAGTCAAATCAGCCTTGTCAGCACTCAAAATTAGCCAAAGGCTTGCAACAATCTAGGGAGCACTGATTTAATAAAAAACAGCCTAAGCTTAGTAAGGTGTGCTTTGTAGTGTTTCACCTTCTAGTCCTGTCTCTTCAGCTCCACAGAAGCCTCAAAGAATAATTTGTTGTTAAAAGCAGCCTTCTGGCAGCCACCAGAGGGAGCAGAATCAGGCTAGAATGCTTTCAAAGCCTCATTCTCAAAAAAAAAATGTCTTTATTGGACCTTTCTGGTGGTTTTTATGGAAACCTCCACTTGCAAGGATGTCTGCATTTGATTTGATGCAGAGTTCACCAGCACAAAAACTCTCTCCCAGAAAAGCTTTTTCCCCAGAACATGGTTGTCCAAAAAAATTACAGGCAATTGATTAACTCTGTGGCCACCTGAGATAGTGGCTAAAAACTGGAACAAACAGTAGATGAACTAACAAACTAAAAAGGGAAAGCTGGTGGAATTACATCCATAGTACTTTGTAAAGCTCCAACATACTCCTGGGAATCTAGAAGGCTGCAAATATCCAGGAATGTGTGAAAGACCAGGGTATTCACATGTTCTGGAAATACCCGAGAAGCCATTTAACCTCTCACCTCCTGCTGATCTTGAGGCTCTATGCAAGCAGGAAGCAACAACAATAACAAAACTAAGGCAGAGTTGGCAACTGCCTGGTTGTTTATTGAAGGTGAACCTAAACAAGCACACAGAACTTTTCTGCAAAGACAGAGAGAATTTTTTTTCAGATTTTAAGGATTAATATCCAATGATTAACAGACCCTCAGCTCAGAAGAGACTTCAGGGGCTGCACATAAGAAAGACAACAGACTTTATCGAATTAAGTTAGCAAGTTCCCTAAACAAAACAACAAAAATTACTACTTCAGCAAACAGCAACAGGAACAAATCCTAAGGAGAAGTGAAAATATGATGTCCAGTATAAATACATTATATTTAAAATGTCCAGTTTTCAACAACTAAAAATGAGACATTCAAAGAATTAAGAAAGTATAGACTATAGAGAATAAAAAATTAGTCAGTAGAAATTGTCTCAGAGGAAAATTAGACATTTTATTTATTAATCCAATTGGAAATTATAAATATGTTCAAGGATCTAAAGAACTAAAACAAAGCATTAAAATAATGTTTTAGCAAATAGAAACTATTAATAAAGTGATATAAATTATTTTTAAAATTCAAATATAAATTTGACGGTTGAAAAGTAAAATAACTGAACTAAAAAATTTTTGCTATCTGCACTCAACAGCATATTCAAGTAGGCAGAAGAAAGAATCATCAAACCTGAAGATGAGTCAACTGAGATTATCTAGACTGAAGAACAGAAAGAAAAAATAATGAAAAATGAACAGAGTTTCATAGTTGTGTGACATTCCATGAAGTATACCAATATATATACAAAAGTAAAAGTAGTCAAAAGAGAAAAGGGGGGGGAGGCAAAAAGTATATTCAAATAAGTAATGGCTGAAAACTTCCAAAATTTGGTTTAAAAAACATTAATTTATACATTGAGGAAGCCCAAGAAATTCCAGTAGTAAAAACTCAAAGATATATACTTGAGATACATCACAATCAAACTGTCAAAAGTCAAAGACAGAGAGAGAATCCTGGAAGCAACAAGAGAGAAGTGACACTTCACATGTCAAGGATCTTCAATACGATTAACAGATAATTTTTTACTCAAAACAATGGGAAACAGAAAGTATATACTAGCATATACAACATACAGAAATAAAAGAAAAGTACCAAGAATACTATATCAAGCAAAACTATAACTTGAAAACATAGAGATATTAGGACATTCCCAGATAATTAAATATTGGGATAAACCTGTTCTATAAGAAACACTCAAGGGAATCCTTCATATTGAGATGAAAGAATGCTAGACAGTAACTTGAATCCACAAGAAGAAATAAAGACAACCAGTAATCATAACTGTATAGGTAAATATTAAAAATGTATAAATGTATTATTTTATAACCATTTTTCATTGCCTAATTTGAAAGGCAATTGCATAAAGCACTAATTGTAAATTTCTGTTGATAGTCACACAATGTATAAAGATATAATTTATACAATATCAAGACAAATAAAGGAAGAAAGAAAGCTATAAAGGAGGAAGAAATGTGTATACTAATGAAATTGCTAGTATTAATCCAAAATAATTTTTTGTAAATTAAATTGTGAATTCCACTCCCAGGGCAATTGCTAGGAAAATAGTATAAAAATTTATAGTCAAATCAATTACAAAGTAATTAAAGTATTATATAAAAGAAGGCAGTAATGAAGGAATAGAGAAAATACAAAGACATAAGACACAGAGAAAATAAGTAGCAGAATGGCAAATACAAATCCTACCTTATCAGTAAGTACATTAAATGTAAATAAATTAAACCCTCTAATTAAAGTATAGAGATTGACAGAATGAATTTGAAAGAAATGGTCCTATCATATACTGTTCACAAAAGACACATGGGCGATCACAGACACAAATATGTTAAAAGTAAAGGCTGGAAAAAGAAATTCCATGCAAACAGCAACCATGTTAGAGCTGAAGTGGCTAGATTAATATCAGACAAAATAGACTTTAGAATAAAAATTGCTAGAACAAACAAAGAATGACATTTTATAATAACAGAAGGGTCAATTAATCAAGACATAACAATCACGAATATCAATCCACCCAACAACAAAGCTTCAAGATACATCAAACAAAAACTGACAGAACTAAACAGAGAAATAGAAAATTTAACAAAAATAGAGACTGCATACTGCATGTCTGAAGTCATGCAAAGTGCCTTCTCCAGCCATACTAGAATGAAATTATAAATCAACAACAGAAAGAAATAACAGAAGGAAATTTAAAACATATGAACATTAAACAATATGTTCCTTGATAACCAGCAAGTATAAGAAATCTCAAGAATGATTAGAAAATATTTTGAGATGAAAGAGAATGAATGTACAACACATTGAAACTTATTGGATGAAGTTAGAGCAGTGCTTTAAAGGAAATTTCTAGCTTTAAGTGCCCACATTAAAGAAGAAGTTCTTATGTCAGTAACCTAACTTTACATCTAAGAGAATTAGAAAAAGAGCTAACTAAACCCAAAGCAAGTAAAGGAATGAAAATCAATTTAAAAAAAACTGCAGTGGGAAAAATATGAATTCTAATACACGCAAAAAATGAGAGCATCAACAAAACCAAAAGTTTGTTATTTGGAAAGGTCAAGAAATTTGATAAAATACTATATACACTGACCAAGAAAAAAGATAGAAGATTCAAATTATTAAAATCAGAAATTCAAGAGAGAGTATTCCTATGAACCTTCAAAAAGTGATTATAAGAGAATACTATAAAACATGTTATGCCAACAAATTAGATAAACAACGTGAAATGAATAAATTCTTAAAAATACACCA